TGTGCATCCAGGTGGATTATACCTTGGTTTTTTTCAGGACAAATTGGGCTTTCATTTGGTGGTAAATGGTAGTGGATATCTCCTGATTTTCTTTTTTATTACCAAAGGAAAACTGGCCCAAAATAGTAAAAAAATTTTTTTTTATATTTAGCTGTATATTTCTTGCTACTACCATAACCTACCACTCAAAATAATTTCTCCTGCTCCTGATGATTGCAGCGACACTACATGTATTGAAAGAAAGGGGGTGCTGTTGCGCTTAGGAAAAACATTATAAATATATGAAAATTATACTATATATATGATACCTATATAGCAGCAGTACTAATTGTGGATTCCTATACACAAAATCTTAAATATTTCAAAATGGACCGCGCTAAGGTCACAGATCAACTAAATCTAATGTGCAATTTAAAGTGATAACAATGAACAAAATTCAAATACAATATTAGTATTCAGTCTCAACATGTGAATAATTAGTACAATGGTGCTGTATCTTTAATGGTGAACCTCCATACTGAAATGACAAGTGCTTCGCTGTGTTCACACTGGTGCCCCACATAGATGTAAACTCACCGTCATTTCATGACCACCTATCTCTGGGTAAGTCACACTCGCTTTTGGGACTATCCCAGTATGCAATATGGTCCTGATGGCCGCTATTCCTTCACCCTCTTAACTGTGGTTGCTGGTAGTAACCGATAACTTTCCACTAGGACTGCATAAATATTAGAAAACTCCTCTCCTCCACAGGCAGTATTTCATATTTTCAGCATAAATTAAAACAAAACCAGACATCCCATAGTGTAAAACTGTACAGAACTTTAATAAGGGGTCAAACAATAGAAATGCCACTCACAAAAAAAGTGCCTTTCCTGGCACTTGGTGTATTCAGCTTTCTATATTATGAATGAGAATTAAGATGGCCGCCGCGTTCCAGCATGCGATCCAAATACCGGAAGTGACATCAGCGAAAGTTGCGTTATAAGCCCTCCACGCGTTTCGACCAATAGATCGTCTTCAGGAAGTACCATGTGTGTATGTTAGTGGTTGTTTGTACCCGCAGTACAGCCCAGAAACAATAGGGCACAATTTGCTTCTCTTTTATCCTGCCACTAATGCAGGCCATACATGGGTCGACTTCCAAACAAATTTTCTTTAGAAAATCAGAAATATTGTGCGTTTTGTAATCCAGTGTTGCCACCATTGATTCCAAAATTCGACCAACCAAGCCTTTAATTTCACCTCATGTTGCTACAGAAAAGAATATTCATAGCCAAGAAGTTTCTTTTCTTTCCAGGTCACAGGTCATGCTCATTTCTTTTTCAATTACATTTCTCACACGATTCTCCCATCATTGATTAGAAATGAATTTGTTTTTTAAAACATTTCCAACAATCACTCAAATTCGATGGTCACTCGAAAATCGGCCATTGCTGTGACCCACCAGTGGTGCGAAATTCAAACGAAAATTCTCAGAAAAGATTTTTGAAAGACATTCTTTCAGAATTTGACCCGTGTATGGCCGGCTTAACTGACACTGATACTAATTTAAAAATTTTGAAAAAAGCCTGACCAAAAATCAGATTCGATGGTTGCTCGAAAATGGGCCGTTGCTGTGACCTACTAATGGTGTGAAATTTAAGACCAAAAAAAAAAAAAAAACTTGACCCTTACCTTTGACCTTGACCTTGACCCAAACACTAATCCTGGGACATATTTATTTTCGTGTGTAAAAATAAATAAGTAAATAATAATAAAAAAAATAAACAAAAATACCTACAGTTGTGTCCAAAATTATTCAACCCCCAATGCTGTAAAGGGGTTTAGGGACTATAGTGTACATTTGGAATTGTATTCAGAATCAAATCCTACAAGGACGTTGTAACTACCCAAATGCAACTAAAATGACATCAATTGTTTATGTAATACAGTAGTAAATGGTTCTTATGTGGTTTCTTCATTGCCACAAATTATTCAACCCTTAAAGACTACCACTCTGAAGAACAGAGGTTCATACAGGTGCTTTCCATCAGGTATTGAAAACACCTGTGGATGTCACCGAGCAGCAAATCAAGCATAATAAGCACCAATTAGGCAGCTTTAAAATGACTGTGATACTCAGCTCCTTCTAGACAATTTTACTGGTGTGGTTACAAACATGGTGAAGGCAAGAGAATGTCCAGGAAGACAAGAGAAGAGGTGATTTCTCTTCACAGGAAAGGGCAATGGCTATAAGAAGATTGCAAAGATGTTAAACATACCAAGAGACACCTTAGGAAAGCATCATTCGCAAATTCAAGGCAAAGGGCACTGTTGAAACGCTACCCTGGTCGTGGGCAGAAAGAAGATGCTGACTTCGACTGCTGTGCGCTACCTGAAGCGTAGAGTGGAGAGAAGTCCCCCGTGTGACTGCTGAGGAACTGAGAAAAGATTTGTCAGATGTGGGTACAGAAGTTTCAGCCCAGACAATAAGACGCACACTGCGTAATGAAGGCCTCCGTGCCAGAACTCCCAGGCGTACCCCCTTTGCTGTCTCCAAAGAATAAGAAGAGTCGACTGCAGTATGCCAAAAGCCATGTGGACAAAAACACAAAAGTTGTGGGATAGTGTTCTGTGGACTGATGAAACAAAATTAGAACTGTTTGGGCCCATGGATCAACGCTATGTTTGGAGGAGGAAGAAAGGCCTATGATGAAAAGAACACCTTGCCTACTGTGAAGCAATGGTGGAGGGTCAATCATGCTTTGGGGCTTGTTTTGCTTCTGCAGGTACAGGAAAGCTTCAGCGGTGTGCAATGGTACCATGAATTCTCTTCAGTACCAGGAGATATTGGATGGAAACGTGATAGCAGTCCGTCACACACCTGAGTGCTTGGGAGACGTTGGACCCGCAGTCAACCAGAACAATGATCCAAGCATACTCCAAGTCCACTAGAGCCATGTTTCGCAGAGGAAAGGCTGGAAAATCAGAAATATTGTGCGTTTTGTAATCCAGTGTTGCACCATTGATTAAAATTCGACCAACCAAGCCTTTAATTTCACCTCATGGTGCTACAGAAAAGAAAGCATTCATGCGCAAGCCTAAGAATGTGACTGAACTCTTTGCCAGAAGAATGGTCGAAGCTCATACCTTAGATCGCTTACAAGACACGATTGTGTCCCATATGATTAGAAATGTTTGTTGTTTAAAAACATTTAAACAATCACTCATGCTGGTACTCGAAAATACGGCCATTGAATGTGACCCCACCAGTGGGGGTTGAAATTCAAACGAAAATGCTCAGAAACAGATTTTTGAAGAACATTCTTTCAGAATTATGACCCGTGTATGGCCGGCTTATGACACTGATACTAATTTAAAAAATTTTGTCTGAAAAAGCCTGACAAAAAAATCAGATTCGATGGTTAAAATGGGCCGTAAATGTGACCTACTAATGGTGTGAAATGACCAAAAAAAAAAAAAAAAAACTTGACCCTTAACCTTGACCTTGACCCAAACACTAATCCTGGGACATATTTATTTTCGTGTGGGGTAAATAATAATAAAAAAAATAAACAAAAATACCTACCTTGATGTAGGTATTTTTGTTTATTTTTTTATTTTTATTATTTACTTATTTATTTTTTACACACACTTGTTTTTTTTCCTCTCTGAAAGGACAGAGAGAGATACAATGTATACAATGATACAATGACAGAGAGAGAAAACAAGGGGGGGAGGGGGGGGCGGGCTTCGCAGTGACTAATCACTGATCAATCAGAAGCTATCACAGCAATCAAGTGACCCGGAATTTGGAGTTCTGGGTGCCGATCGTTAGAACGGGACACGGGGCTCTCAGTGACACCCTGGTTTTTTGTGCTGGGAGCGCGTCATGCGGTGTGCTCCCTGCAGAAAGCGCAGGTACGCAAATTAGTGGCCCCACAGAAAAAAAAAAAAGCCCGGTTCTGTGCCACTGTGCCCCCGCAGAAAGACAGGAACGCAAATTAGTGGCCCCACAGAAAAAAGCCCGGTTCTGTGAGGCCACTAATTTGCGTGCGGTCAGCTTTAAGTGGTTAAAGCAAAACTGCACTGCACCTGTGCACCACAAACCAAAAACCCTATGGTCATTCATTTTTAATATTCAAAGCAAACTCCCCCATCCATTCATGTCTCCATGCTTTATTTTGCTCAGATATCATTTTAAAAAACACCCTCTAGTATTCTGGCCGTGGCCATCTTGAGTAAGGGCAGATGATTCCTGTAGCATTTACTTCCTGGAATCCATCTGCTCTTAGCTCAGGCATAGGCTGAGCTGAGAACCCTCCCTCCCCTCCTGAAGACTCCTGGAATATGTGACATAGTTTGCCTAGGCATGGAAACCGGGAAGTAACAGAAAAATCTAGATAAAAAAAAGTTTAAAACAAGCAAATAAAATGTATTATTTCCTATTTACTAATGCTAGCAGTGTAAGCATTTAAAAAAAACACCCCTTGAGGGTCAGGGACTGATTTGAATGTACAATGTATATGTAAAGCACTGCGTCAAATTGACAGTGCTATACAAGTACCTGTAATAAATAAATAATAATAAAAAAGTCAGTGTTGAGAGAGTCAAGTTCGGCTTTAAAATTTTAAAATAGGGTTATAAACCGGTCATGTACATGTACAAAACCACGCAAAAAAACAAAACAACACAAAAACAAAACGCATGAAAATGGTTCTGGTCACTTGAATGCAGCCTATGGACACCACACTTTGCACAGTATTGCAGCCTGCTATAGGAGGCAGGTCCTGTCAGCTATGTAAAACTTCCAGCAAATGTAGATTATGCGTATGGAAGATCTGTCACTAGCAGCTATTGTATAATCATTTGTACCATAATTCCAGTCATTCTATAGAGCACACCAGTACACTGAGCTCTTCCTGTAGCCTGTACAGTGACAACATCTACGTATCTGCTAGGACCTGTAGCCCAGCCTGAGCCGCCCTGGAGACACTGTATTGCAGCCTGGCATTGTCTGTGTCTGGTACTTCCTGGATCCTGGAGGGGAGACTGTCCCAGCTGTGTACACAGGTCAGGGAGGCTTCATCATCTCTGTCTGATCTTCTACAACATATGACCCCATTGGGTGTATCTATATCCGCCCTCTGATGGGCTCCTGTCTGTCCAATGTGTATTATTGTTCAGGAAAAATAGGAATGTATTGCCCAGCAGGCTGTGATGTTTTTACATTGAATACCTTGTTATATGATGGGATTTATGCTGAGCTGTCCTTGGTAGTAGAACACTTTTTATTCATTTCGGAGAGTGGAAGGGCGAATTTGCACATTAGCTCCAGGTTCACACTACTTCAGGCTGCGTCTGCTTGGGCATGGCAGCACATTCATTTGAAGGGGTTGCTGTGCCCCCATATCCTGCAGAAAAAAAAGAGGTGCTAGCGCCTTTTTAACCACTTGCCCTCCAGAGGATTTACCCCCCTTCTTGTACAGGCCATTTTTTGCGATATGGTGCTGCGTTACTTTAACTGACAATTGCGCGGTCATGCAACGCTGCATCCAGATTAAATTTATGTAGATTTTATTTCAAATATAGAGCTTTCTTTCAGTGGTATTTGATCACCTCTGCGATTTTTATTTTTTGCTCTATAAACAAAAAAGATCGACAGTTTTTTTAAATAAAAAAACAATAATTTTTACTTTTTGCTATTAAATATATCCAGTGAAAAAAATTTAAAAAATCTAATTTCTTAAAATATTTAGGTCAAAATGTATTCTGCTACATCTTTGCTAAAAAAAATGTAAATTAGTTGGTTTACGTGAAAGTTACAGCGTCTACAAATGGCGGTATATATACCGGAATTTACATGTTTTTATATACTAGTAATGGCGGCGATCAGCGACTTATAGCGGGACTGCGGTGAACATTCTGACACTGGGTGGGGACTAACTGCCACTGACATCCCAATGACACTAATACAGTGGTCAATGCTAATAAAAAGCACTGACACTGGGCAGGAAGGGGTTAATATCTGGGGAGATCAAAGGGTTAACTGTGTGCTGTTTTACATTATGTGCTGTGTGTGTTTTACTAGGGATACATGCTGCTTTGTATTTCTCTGCTGTGCAAAGAAATACAAAGCAGCATGTCCCTGCTGGCAGGAGAGAGACTTGTGTTGTTTATAAGGTTCTTATATGACCCACGCTTGGTGCCAAACGAGGAGGGGAACGTGGAGGTGGCACCACCTACTACCTACCCTACCCTTTACATGCTACATCTCATGGCCATGATGTTTTTTTGTTTAATATGCATCAGGTTGAGTCTTTAGTATGGTTGCTGGAAAATCACACAGCTCACTTCTATGAGTACTATTCAGCTTGTTCACAGCACGAAGCAGAAGTTTTCTCCTGCTCATACTGCTCTGCCACTCTCCACTGATGCCTCAACCATTATTCAGCCGGTTCCAGATTCCATGCTTTCTGATGATGGGGTCCAGTCCACTTCCATGCCGTCTGATGGTGGGGTCCAGTCCGCTTCCATGCCGTCTGATGGTGGGGTCCAGTCCGCTTCCATGCCGTCTGATGGTGGGGTCCAGTCCGCTTCCATGCCGTCTGATGGTGGGGTCCAGTCCGCTTCCATGCCGTCTGATGGTGGGGTCCAGTCCGCTTCCATGCCGTCTGATGGTGGGGTCCAGTCTGCTTCCATGCCGTCTGATGATGGGATCCAGTCTGCTTCCATGCCGTCTGATGATGGGATCCAGTCTGCTTCCATGCTGACTGATGGGGTTCAGTTCATTTCCATGCCATCTGATGGTGGGGTCCAGTCCGTTTCCACGCCGTCTGATGATGGGGGTGGGGGTTTGACAAGTAAAAAAAAAAAACCTGTTGCTTTGCCCTGAATGAGCAAATTGCCAGAATTTTTTTAATGTATTTATTAACATGTTTTTTACTTTGAATCACTCGGCTTTAAACTCAGGTTCAACCACTTAAGGACCGCCCTATATCAGACATACCGCTACAGGGTGGCATCTGTGCGCAGGATCACATATATATACGTCATTCTGCATTTTCTGGTAGGGGGCGTGCGTGCGAGCCCTAGCCGCGCCGGTATTGGTGTCACTGGGGTGTCAGTGACACCAAGTTAGTCCCCCCCCAGTGTCAGAATGTCTACCGCAGTCCCGCTAAAAGTTGGTGATCGCCACCATTACTAGTAGGAAAAAAAAATCCCGTTATCTACTCCGCCATAACTTTCACATAAACCTATTAATTTACACGTATTGGGATTTTTTTTTTAGCAAAGACATGTAGCAGAATACATTTTCCCCTAAATTTTTTTTTTTATAGCGTAAAAAATATAAAATGAACAGGTGATTAAATACTACCAAAAGAAAGCTCAATTCATGGGAAAAAAAAGGACGTAAATTTCATTTGGATGCAGAGTTGCATGACCGCGCAATTGTCATCTAAAGTAACGCAGCGCTGTAACTCAAAAAATGGCCTGGTCAGGAAGGGGGGTAAATCCTCTGGAGGGCAAATGGTTAAAGTTTGAGCAAAACGGGACATTTGTGTGTTATCATACACAAGGATAATGTGGTTGCTCAGAACTCCAACCTGAGGACCTTGAGATCTATGGAGCATTTTGTGTAAGAGCAACTGCAGACTGAGAGGTCTAGTGGTGGTGTTTTATATTGGTTTCAATTTAAGAAGTTTGCTGTTATATCCTTTACTGCTACCTCCTTTTTATTCTGAATCACACACTTTCTAAACGTTGTTATGTCACAAAGATCTCTATGCTTTATGTGGTTATAAACCCTTACATATACCCAGTGAAGTGACTGGCCTCAGGTTATACACTGAGATAAAACAAATCCTCCTGCATGAGTTATACCTGTTTATCTGTAGTCTTCTCTTCTCTACATCTGGTCAAAGTCCAGAATTTATAAGGCTTGTCTGAATGTCAGAAAAAAAGGGGATGGAGAGTTGAAGTCACACTCTGTAGGGCTCAGTGAGGAGATCTGTGAATGCTGATTGGAGGGAAGAGACACACCTCCTCCACACAGCTCAAAGGAACAGAGCTGAGGTTGTCAATCTGCTGGAGCTCCCTCCCCGTCACCATTTTTCTCTTGGTGTCAGAAAACTTTTCAGAAGTGATTCATTCTGATAGCAGAGGAATGAAGCAGTAGACAGAAATGACACTTAGTGCTCTTATTTGATAGAAGTACACACTATAGTGGGATATGCTTTGTTCATATTTCATGTCTGAGGTTTATAACCATTTTAATGCTGCGGAGAGACCTCTGTGATTGGAAGAGAGACTGGTCATGGCTTTGACAGGTCATGTACCTAGTCTTATCCTAGCTTTTTTTTTTTTCTTGATTCATTTTAACTGCATTCTACTTCCTTCAGGGTCCCCAAGCAGTCAGAGTGCAATACACATTTTAAACATTTGGGACATTGCTGTACTCAATAAATGAGCAGTGCTTTTATTTAAAGCAGTGGTATGGCCGCAGTGCTGCTTTATAAATGGATTTCTTTGTTTTACCATTTCTTTTTCTTGTTTTCAGGTTGTTGGGTCCTAATGGCAGCTGTAGACAGCTTTCATCTTTTATATCGAGAAGTGGCAAGGTCTTGTCACAACCACTTTGAGTTTCTGGCTGTAGTGGGAGCTCTGTACACAGCAAGAAAAGGCATCAGTATTTTATATGAGTGCTACAGTGTGGTTAGACTACATGTCACTCCACATATCCTCAGAAGGAGAGACCTGGTCAAGCAGTATGGAGCGTGGGCAGTTGTCACTGGTAAGTGAGCCACATTACGTACCGATTTTGATGCTGGCTTAGTGAGACATCATAGAATATATACAGTGAGGAACAGAAGTATTTGAACACCCTGCGATTTTGCAAGTTCTCCCACTTAGAAATCATGGAAGGGTCTGAATTTGACATTGTAGGTGCATTCCCACTCTGAGAGACAGAATTAAAAAAAAATTCAGGAAATAACATTGTATGATTTTTAAAGAATTTTATCCCTAGTGCTTTGTCCTGTGCCCTGCCTGCATGTTTACTGTTCTTTCTGCCTGGAAACTGAGAAACGTCCATGGCATCCAAAAAGCGTCCCTTTAGGTCAAAAGCGGTTTCAGACCAGCTAGAGAACAGCGATAGTAAATTAGAACCACTTGCAGAATTGAGTGATTTTGCTCAGTGATGTGCGAACTTGGCGCTCTATTTCAAATTTTAGTGTTTTTTTGGTTTGATTATATTATTGAATTTAAGTTGTTATTATTATATTATTTTTTATGATTATTTATTAAATTATAATTTATGATTTCGTGTTTCAAATTGTAACATACCCGGGATGTTTACTAGACTCTTGTTCGGACAGATTTCAGTGAGTTATTCCTAAAAATTACAGGCCTACAATAAAAAAAAAATACATATTTCCATGCAAAAAAATGTACCACTTTGAGCACAGAAATATGGACATAATCAGACTGCTAGGGAGGTTAAACAAGCTAAAGTTAGAAGCTCATTGTCTACCAAGCACAGCTGCATCAGATTTTGCACTCTCCAGTTTTAGTAAATCAACCCCAAAGTCTAAATATCATTTACAGTGTGGTTGGATTTTTGTTTCCATACTCTATCCTAAACTAAAATAAAATGTGGTGGGCTAGAGATACTTTTAAAACTGTATGTCACTATGTGCAGTTTATACCACCTTTGAGAACATCCCTGAATGGCTGACACCCTGGCAAAAACAGAGTAGGATACGATTTTGCTGGTCCATATTTCAATATGAGCATAATATAAACCCCAACCCCTCTGTCTGTCAACACACTACCGCTTCTGTGCTGTATCACTGGATTTCTTTCACCCAGCATGCTTTTCTGTACACAAGTCTGTGAGAGATGGCTTTTCTGCAGTTTCAAAATGGTGGTGATGTGTTACACATGACAATACACAAGGGACTTATGTGTATCAGTTGATTTCAGGCTGTGAAATGAATTATTCTTATTAGTTGCTAAGCATAATAATGTTCTGTTTGCTTTGTTTTGTTGATAAAAAAAGAGTTGATCTGATATTTCTGTACAGGAGCCACTGATATCATTGGAAGGGCTTACGCAGAGGAGTTGGCGAGTCGCGGTCTGAATATTATCCTGATATGCAGTAATAGAGAAGAGCTACACAATGTCTCAGAGGCATTAGCTGAGACTTATGGAGTTAACACCAGTATCATTCATGCCGATTTCCGCAAGGGACCTGAAGCATACGTTTCCATCAAAGAGATTCTGAGAGATTTTGATGTTGGTATTTTGGTTAACAATGCCAGGGTGTTGTATGAATATCCACAAAGTATTATGGAGATTCCAGAGGACAAAGTATGGGAAATCATCAATGTCAATGTTGCTGCAGCAGTTTTGATGGTGCGTATAGTGGTCCCGGGTATGGCACAGAGGAAGAGAGGAGCCATTGTCAATGTGTCCCCTGGAACTGGATCCCGACACAGCGCTCATACTCAGATAGCTGCATCTAAGGTAAAGTATCTGAAATAAAGTAAGCAATGAGGGACCTAGTTTGTCTTTTTTCCTTACATTGTACACTGTACTGAAAGCAAGGATCTCCTGTTATTCTCTTGGTACAGGAGAGTGCTTTTTCCACATTCATTGATTATACACTGCTCAAAAAATTTTAAGGAACACTTTAAACAGAGTATAGCGTCAAGTCAGTTAAACTCCTGGTATATTGATTGTCAGTTACGTAGCAGAGGGGGTTGTTAATCAGTTTCAGCTGCTTTTGATAATTAAATTAACAACAGGTGCACTGGATGGGCAACAATGAAACAACCCCCAAAACAGGAATGGTTTTACAGGTGGAGGCCACTGACATTTTTTCCCTACTCATCTTTTCTGACTGTTTTTCACTAGTTTTTCATTTGGCTAGGGTCAGTGTCATGACTGGTAGCATGAGAAGATACCTGGACCCTACAGAGTTTGCACAGGCAGTCCAACTCCTCCACGATGGCACATCAATACGTGCCATTGCCAGAAGGTTTGCTGTGTCTCCCAGCACAGTCTTAAGAGCATGGAGGAGATTCCAGGAGACAGGCAGTTACTCTAGGAGAGCTGGACAAGGCCATAGAAGGTCCTTATTCCATCAGCAGGTCCGGTATCTACTCCTTTGGATGAGCACTGCCAGAGCTCAGCAAAATGACCTCCAGCAGGCCACTGGTGTGAATGTCTCTGACCAAACAATCAGAAACAGACTTCATGAGGGTAGCCTGAGAGCCCGACATCCTCTAGTGGGCCCTGTGCTCACTGCCCGGCACCATAGAGCTCGATTGGCATTTGCCATTGAACACCAGAATTGGCAGGTCCCCTGTGCTTTTCACAGATGAGAGCAGGTTTACCCTGAGCACTTGTGACAGACATGAAAGGGTCTGGAGAAGCCGTGGAGAATGTTATGCTGCCTGTAGCATCGTTCAGCATGACCATTTTGGTGGTGGGTCAGTGATGGTCTGGGGAGGCATATCCATGGAGGGACGCACAGACCTCTACAGGCTAGACAATGTAACCCTGACTGCCATTAGGTATCGGGATGAAATCCTTGGACTCACTGTCAGACCCTACGCTGGAGCAGTGGGTCCTGGGTTACTCCTGGTGCATGACAATGCCCAGCCTCATGTGGTGACAGTATGCAGGCAGTTCCTGGAAGATGAAGGAATTGATACCACTGAATGGCCCCCATGCTTGCCTGACTTAAATCCAATAGAACACCTCTGGGATATCATGTTTCGGTCCATCGAACGACGCCAGATCGCACCTCAGACTGTCCAGGAGCTCACAGATGGCCCTGGTCCAGATCTGGGCGGAAATACCCCAGGACACCATCCGTCATCTCATTAGGAGCATGCCCCGACATTGTCAGGCATGCATACAAACACGTGGGGACCATACAAACTACTGAGTACCATTTTGAGTTGCTGCAGTGAAATTTCAGCAAAATGGACTAGCCTGCTGCATAATTTTTTCACTTTGATTTTCAGGGTGTCTTTGAATTCAGTCCTCTGTAGGTTGATAATTTTCATTTCCACCAAACAATGGGGCATCCTTACGTTCCTAACACCTTACCCAGTCCATATCAGTATAGATATCCAGCATGATATTTTTCCCCATTGAGATCTGATGTGTTTTTAAAGTGTTCCTTAAATTTTTTTGAGCAGTGTACAATGTGTTCCACCCTAGATTTACTACTGCCAATAAAAGCCAAATGTTTTTGGAACATTGTGCCATTTATGATTTTCTTCATTTCCCAAGTACACTGGGGGGAAATAACAAAGAGTTGTGCAAGCACAAGCTTGTACTACTCTTCTAAACATAAATATTGGAGTAGATGCTGCTCATAATTAACAAAAGGGGCAAAGATCCTTTGTTAATTAGTTATCAGTTCTCTGTTCTGCCACGTCTGTGACAGGCAGCACATAGAATGGAGAACTGGATCTGCATGCCCCCAATCTCTCTGTCTGTCTCTGCCACCTGCTCAGCTCAGTGTATGAGGGAGAAGAGGGTTGGTAACCCTGCAGGCTCTGCTTGTGTAGTGTAATCACTTTTAATCTAATGAACTAAAAAATGTTGGCCATTGTTTTCTCAGTTGGCCATTTTGTGAGAGTTTGTGTGCTAATATTGGAGCCGTAATCTCTCCATTTCTGTAAACAGGTAAGTGTAGGTAGGCAAAAAGCTTTAAAGTGTTATTTCACTATTACAGAAAAAAGTAAAAGTGAACTAACACCAGCACTGACCAATCAGAATCCATCTGGCCAGTCTTGGAAGTGCTGATAGAGAACAGAGACAACTTCAGGAATTTGAAATCCCTGGACCGCTGGAGCAGCTGCGGGGGTGCTGACTGCTCAACAACCCTGGGGGTAAGTACAAGGGGGGTGGGGGGAGGTCAGCCAGTGTTCACCTTTCCTTTTTTTTATGTAAAGGTGAACTAACTCTTTAAATACACAGATGATATACATAAAAGGTGGCTCTTTAACCTGCCCAAGATTTTGTATTTCGTCCATCCAGTAATGAGATTAACATAGCATGGCCCTGTCTGGCAGGGCAGAAAACTCAAATTTTCTCTCCTGCACTTGTGTACTTCCAGGTCTTGTCCCTGCCCCAGCCCGTGACCTGACAGCAGAAGGAGAAAACTGGTGAGCTCATCTCTGCCACACAGCTGCCACTTCCTATCAACATGCTTCTTGTTGGTATGAGCACTGTGGTACAGCTGACTAATTAGCTATTGGTGCTGCTTCTCCCTCTCCTAGTCTAGGCTTTGCTGTAGAGTGCATTGCAGGAGGTTGTTCGAAGTCAAACTCCGTTCCATAAGCTGGATATACATTATACAATTTTCTTATTCAGTTTTCTTTAGATTTACCTTCAACTATGTAGTGCAAGGGCCTGCCTGATTGCAAATTGAAAGTGTTTAGATTTGGCATCATATGGTTTTGGTAATTCTAAAGGAAAATTGTATAATGTATGGCCAGCCTTACACTGGTTGCATAAAAACACACAAATAATTATATAGAGTACTGCAGTAAATTTAGCCTTTTATACCTGCCAGGAGTTCATCATTAAACTTCTTCATAGACATACAAAACAACCAGATCTTAAGACATTATCATGCTACCTAAAGAAAAAAAACAAAAATCTTATGGACTATTTCATAAGTCTAAGAAATTTAAATCTTTTTAAATACTTCAATTACCTATCACAGTAGGTTACACAATATTGTGACATACTGTCTATACTGTATGTACTTTATTAGAAAAAAAGTGATCAATATTTGCTAAATATTCTACCACTCTGTAAATATAAAGACTAAATAATATCCTTATTCTCCAAAATAATCCATACAAACCCACTACTTAAGTCTCCTGTAATCTAATTTGTCAGGAAATGTGTTTCTTTCTCTGATTTTGTGCCTCCTTGCAACGTTTTTCTAACTCTTTACTTTTCCCCCTCACTTCCATTTGTTTGCAACAACCAGTTCAGGATTATTGAGGTCATGTGCACTGCTCTATGCACGCTACACATCCCATAGTCAATAGTCCATCTCTGGAGCAAGCAATATTATTTTTATTATTATACAGTGTTTATATAGCGCCAAAAAGTTTGCTCAGCGCTGTACAATATAGTGGGGGACAGTACATGAGACAATACAGTTACAAAACAATACACGAGAGGTTCGAGGGCCCTGCTCTTTCGAGCTTACAATCTAGGAGGGAGGGGATAGTGGTACAGGAGGAAATGGCTGTGGGGGATGGAGTGGTAAGAGGAGTGGAGAAGATCTGCTGTTAGGTGAGGTGGGGATAGGCTTCCCTGAAGAGATGGGTTTTCAGGGTGCGCCTAAAGGTGAGGAGGGTAGGTGACAGTCTGATGGCTTGGGATAGTGAGTTCCAGAGGATGGGGGAAGTCCTGGAGAAGTCCTGCAGTCGGTCGTGGGAGGAGGAGACCAGGGAGCTAGAAAGTAGGAGGTTTTGTGAGGAGCAAAGAGTACGGGTTGGGTGGTAATTGGGTATCAGGTCGGTGAGGTAGTTTGGGGCAGTGTTATGAATGGCTTTGTACGTCAATGTTAGTAGTTTGAATTTAATGCGTTGGGCAATCGGAAGCCAATGGAGGGAATGACAGAGGGGGGTGGCAGATGCAGAGCGGTTGGTAAGGTGGATGAGTCTGGCCGCTGAGTTCAGTATAGACTGAAGCGGCGATAGTCTGTGATGAGGTAGGCCAGTGAGGAGGGAGTTGCAGTAGTCGAGTCGTGAGATAATAAGGGAGTGAATGAATTGTTTAGTAGTGTCTGGGGTTAGGAACGTACGTATTTTGGAGATGTTGCGGAGGTGGAGCCTGCATGAGTTTGCCAGTGATTGGACATGGGGTTGGAAGGACAGGTTTGAGTCTAGAGTGACACCTAAGACTTTGGCTTGCAGGGTGGGACTGATGGCGTGGTGTTGGTCATGATGGAGAGGGTGGGGCGCGCGGGCTGGGGGGAAAATTAGGAGCTCGGTTTTGGAAAGGTTTAATTTGAGGAAGTGGAGTGACATGCAGTCTGATATGTTGTTCAGCAGGCAGGTGATTCGGGTGGAGACTGAAGGGGTGAGGCAAGGGGTAGAGAAGTAGATTTGCGTGTCATCGGCGTAGAGGTGGTAGTTGAAGCCGTGGGAGTGTATCAGTTGGCCAAGGGAGGAGGTGTAGATGGAGAAGAGAAGGGGCCCCAACAGAGAGGGGGAGGTGGCAGCGTTATAGGTAACGCTGAAGGAGTGTTGGGATAGATAGGAGGAGAGCCAGGAGAGAGCGGAGTCTCTGATGCCAAGGGAGTATAGTTTATTAAGGAGGAGGGGGTGGTCAACTGTGTCGAAGGCCGCGGAGAGGTCGAGGAGTAGGAGGACTGAGTAGTGGCCATTAGTTTTGGTGGTTAGCAGGTCATTAGTGATTTTGAGTAGGGCGGTATCGGTGGAGTGTAGGGGACAGAAGCCAGACTGTAGTGGATCGAGGAGGTTGTTGTCATTGAGGTGGGAGCTTAGGCGATTGTAGCCTAAGCGCTCGAGGAGTTTGGATGAAAAATGGCAGCAGTGAGATGGGTCTAAGGTTGCTCAGGTCGGTGGGGTCCATGGAGGGTTTTTTTTAGTATGGGAGTGATGTGCGCGTGCTTTAGGGGGGAGGGGAATGCGCCAGTAGAGAGGGAGAGATTGAAGATGTGGGTGAGGGAGCATAGGATGGAGGAGGAGGGAGACCGGAGGAGTTGTGTGGGGACAGGGTCAAGGGGGCAAGTGGTGAGGCGGGCTTCTGAGAAGACCTTAGTGACCTCTTCGGTGGTAGCAAGGCTGAAGGGGTGGAGTGTTGGGGATGTTTTAGTGTGCGGGATGTTAGGTGTGGTGGGGGTCAGGGCGGTTGCGAGGTCAGAGGAGGGGAGAGTTGAGGGGGTTATCGTGGGAGGGAGACTAGATGGGGAGGTAGATTGAACATTGGCGATGTCTTTACAGATTGCGTTGATCTTGTTTGGAAGTGTTTGGCAATCTCGTGGGCAGTGAGGTACTGGGTGGAGGTGGGGGGGGGGGGGGGGAGAGTAGGGAGTTGAAAGTGGAGAAGAGCCGGCAAGGACAGGTGGAGAGGGTATTGATAATGGTTACGAAGTAGGCTTGTTTGTAGTTGTGGAGGGAGGAGGTGTAGGTGAGGAAGACGGATTTGTAAAGGGTGAATGCTTGAGGGGATCTGGTTTTGTGCCATAATCGCTCCAGCGCACAACTGCGTCATTTAAGATTTTTGGTGTGGTCGTTCTACCAGGGTTGAAAGTGTCGGGGTCTAATGCTGCGTGTGGTTAGGGGTGCTAAGGAGTCTAAGGCAGCTGACAGCGAGTTGTTGTACGCAGTAGTGGCCAGGTCAGGGCAGGACAGTGGAAGGATACTGTCGTAAAGACTGTCAGCTGCAGAGTGGAGAGGGGCCGGGTTCAGGTTGCCAATATAGGATGGCTGCATTCCTACATACAATGGGACCATGGAGAAGTGAATGTAGCCACCCTCTAATAGGGTGTTGGATCACACCAAAAAAAAAAAGATTTGGAGGAGGCTGAGAGCACTAAAAGTTACTTTTTTGAGTTAAAATGATCTTAACAGCAATTTTAAAAAAATGTACAAACATGTTATACTTGCCTGCTTCGTGCAGTGGTTTTTCACAGAGCAGCCACAATGCTACTCTTCCCTGATCCCCCTCCCGGCGCTCCTGGCTCCTTCCTCCTGCCAAGTGCCCCCACTGCAAGCAGCTTCCTTTGGGGGCACCCAGGCAGGCTCGCTCCCAAGCTGCTGCTCTGTGTGTCCATTCACACACAAAAGCCATGTCTCGGCCCCACCCCTTCTCTCTCCCCATTGGCTCATTGGCTGTGATTGACAATATCTGAAGCCAATGGTCCGTCTCTGTGTCAGCCAATGAGGAGGGAGAGACCTGGGATAATCAAGGCTCCAGTGCACATTGCTGGATCACGATGAGCTTCAGGTAAGTAATAGGTGGGGACTGCTGCACACAGAAGGTTTTTACCTTCATGCATAAAATGCATGAAGGTAAAAAACCTTGAGCCTTTGAAACCACTTTCCAGGAGACTGTCTGTCTCTTTCTGCTGGGTCCCCTTAAACTTCCCCAGGAACATCTCCTGAGGCTGAAGACTTTCAGGAGATGGTCCTATAGAAGTATATGAGGGCTCAGTAGGGAGGTTTAAGATGTAAACAGCATAGTGGAAGGAGATGGAGAGATCCAAGTAAGTATACAGCTGGGGGCAGTTAATTGTAGAAAGGCAATATGGCAGTGCTGCGCTAAGTTTTCCAAAATATAAATCAGAACCTTTAAACCTGGCTGTTGCACCACATCTCTATTAGTATCAAAAGACCACTATGGAAAATAAATACTGGGACCTTTCAGGTGTTATGCATATACATTACACATATAATATTAGTCTATAAAAACAGATACATAGAAAAAAAATGGGTTTGACATGTCATTCACATTTGCCGCTCAGTACTAGGAACGGCTTTAACATAACACCCTTGATACCCCAACAATAAGTACATAGGAAGAGTGTTTCAGTCCCTGATTTCCTGATCTGCTTTGTCAAGAAATATGGCAACTGTGTTAAGATATCATACAATGAAATAGATGTAATATTAGTAACCTATCGCATACAATTTACGTATACTATCACAGGATTACACATATTGTACAATTACGTATGTGTTGAACCATGCCTCAGACTGGTAAAGCATCCATGTTTAGGTAACCCTCAGGATGCATTCACACCTGTGTAGCATGTGAACACGTGCAAAATTGTTCACAATTTTTTTTGTTCATCCATGATATGTGCAAAAGTTGTGCGTCTCGCTTGCGGTGCCATTCATTGTTAGTAGAACCCCAAACCTTTTATTATATGAAAATTTACAGCGCAATATAGTATTGCGCTGCATTTTTTGTATATAAAGAACCCCAAACCTGCCAACAAGAACCTCTGTTCTGCATGCAGAACGTGGCAAAACGCAGGGTTAAAAACTGCTCTAAGCGCAAAAAGGTAGGCATACAATCCACAAAAAGGTGTATATGCGTGACATCTGGCATTGTGTTGCAGTAATGTGAATGGGGGCTCAAGTGGAGACATTAAGGGATTAAAAAGGAGAGGTCCAAATGCAATTAAAACTGATCAGTACTTAGTTTAAAAAAAATATCAAAATTAGGTATATATAAACCTATCCTTTGTTTTCAAATAACCCACTTTAGTTTGATGTGGTAAGTTCCATTCACCTATATACGCTTGCCATGAATCTATCCAAGTGTATTAGAGAAGACAGGCCCATTCTGGAAAGTCTATACACACACATTATATTAAGTCTATATGGGACTAAACTCAAATCTATAAATTAATTATTGAGTAATATGACTTTGTAGCCCCAGAAAAGTCCCAGTATTTATTTTCAGTGGTGGTCTTATGATATCTTTTGGACAGTCAGAGGTGCTACTGGAGTTTGTCTCTGTTTCCTCTACAATTCACATTATTAAAGTGTAACTAAACCCAGGACCCTACATTCACTATATCTGGTCTTACACAGTACACAGAACATGGAAATGCAATTATTTTAGCAAATATAAACTGCTAAATACCTTTTCTCATCAGTAGTATATAGCAGTCTTGTGACTTCTGTCAGTGTCTGGTTGAGCACTGGTTAAAGCTTGAAGGAGGAGTTTTTATTCTGCTCTGACTATCCTATGAGGCTACATAACCCCTGACCCTCTGGACAGTGCTTATTGACCCTGCATAAATCACATGCACCACCCCTAAGGAAAAAAAAAAACCCTCTCTTCTAATGCACACCAAACTGAGCATGTGCAGCTTGCCCCCAAGGCTCTATTCTATCAGCAAATGGATTAGGGACAGTAGAAGAAGGGGAGGATCAGAGAAGACAGGATTAAACAGCCTTTTTACACAATGCAGAGGATTAACCTGTTAGGTTCCACAGTGAGTATAACAAGCATGCTTTACTGCATATACAGACTGATTTTACTGTTGTGTGGGTTAGTAACACTTTAAGATAATAGTAAGAGAGTTGATACTACATATAACAAAGTATGTTACAAAGCCATGCTTGAGGTTTGCATTAAAGCCCAACTGACTTTTCTGTTTAAATCAACTAAATGCATTTCGTGTGCAAAAAAAAACAAAAAGGTATGCCAATTCTCAGTTCATATTCTTTAGAAGCAGCCTTAGCCTGAGTAGAAAAGCCCATACCCTGCCTGCATGCTGCAGAGAAGAACACTTTCTCTATGTGTTGAAGCAGTGGTCTCTCTGCAGAGGTCCAACACATTCCCTGCTGAGTCGGGCCTATAGCAATGCGATCTGCAAAGCTCATGCTTTCTGCTGATTTAAACAAAATTCTGTTGGGTCTAAAATCACTTTATTATTCCTGCTGCTATAACCATAAAGTATGCACAGTTTTGTACAAACAGTATCTTCTTCTTTTGCATGCAGAAAAGCAGCCGTAATCCAACTATCTGCAACTGCTTACAACTTATCATTTTTCCATTTTGAAATGTACTTGATCCAGGCTTACTTGGACAAATTCAGCAGACAGCTGCAATGTGAGCTTCGGTCCAGTGGAATATTTGTACAGTTGTTAACTCCTCTGTGTGTGGAAGACAAACAGGAGCCTTCTGCTGGGATTTCACAATACCTGCCTGCATTTGTCCCCTCATCTGATGTTTATGCACGACATGCTGTAAGAACACTGGGGATCTCTTCCAGGACCACCGGATACTGGGCCCACTCTTTGCAGGTAACAGAGTTTGCATGCCAAGAATGTTTATGTTGATGTACCATTGTCAAAGTGGTTGTAAACACATACCTACTACCTAGCGAAGTGACTGGCCTCAGGTGATACTCAGAGATGAAACAACTCTACATAAGTTGTACCTGTTTATCTGAAGTCTTTTCTTCTCTACATCCAATCAAAGTCAAGAATTTATACAGCTTGTCTGAGAATTTATTACAGCTTGTCTGATTTTAATAAAAACGGGGCGGAAAACGGGGCGGAGAGGTGAAATTACACACTGCAGAGCTCAGTGTAAAGAGCTCCTAGAGCTGATTGTAGGGAAGGGACACGCCCCCTTCACAATAGCACTCAGGAACAGAGCTAAGGCTGTCAATCACAAGCTGTGTGCTGGACATCTCTCCCCTGTCACCTTTTTTCTCTTGGTGTCAGAAAAACTTCTCAGAAGTGACTGATGTTGATAGCAGAGAAGCAGCAGCCAGAAATGACACTTAAGTCGGCCATAGATGGATCAAATATAAGTTGATAAAGCAAGGACCAGATGAGACTTGATCCATTTATGGCCAGGCTGATTGTACTGAAGTCAAGAAAACTTCTCAGAAGTGACTGATGTTGATGGCAGACAGAAATTACACTTAAGTCGGCCATAGATGGATCAAAAATCAGTCGATTCAGCAAGGACCAGGTGAGACTTGATCCATCTATGGGCAGGCTGATTGTACTGAAGTCAATCAATGGGTTGTACAACCAGCCTTTTGGATTTTCTACATACGATCACTGGTGGTAGCTATAGTAACCAGAAGTGATTATTGTGTTCTGCCATCAGGGAAGGCTGCCCTCCAGCAGAACATAATAGCGTTGACCGTGTTGATGGGGTAATCAAGCAATTTTCTTTTCTTTCACCCATGATGGAAGGAAAGAAAATTGTATAGTCTATGGATTGCCTTGGTGCTCTTAGATAAGTACACACTATAGAGGGATATGCTTTGTTCATATTTCATATCTGAGGTTTACAACCACTTCAATGATATTAAGATAATAGAAGATAATAATAAGAAAACCCAGGAACTAAGAGCTAACATCGCCATCTTTGTGACTTCCTGTGCTTTCAGTGGGAGGGGGTCTTGTGAATCTTAGCTGTCCTGTAGCACTTAAGACCCACAAGTGTTCACACTTTTGTGTTGCAGTGCTAGTATAACAGTGCATGTCCACACAGGTGCTGTGCATGTGTAGTGATTGCTTAATGCTGCCTGTGGAAGTCTGATGCCGGGGTGCCTCCCGGCACCGAAATCAGCTGTAGCCGGGCTGCTGGTGTGTGGGTTCTTACTTTCAAACTTTAAAATATTGGAAATTAAGCAGAATAAGATCTTGTGCATGTGGACTGATCCTGTTGCAAAACAGACATATTTATTTTTATTTTATTTATTTCAGGTACTTATATAGCGCCCTCATTTTACGCAGCACTTTACATATATATTGTACTTTCACATCAGTCCCTAACCCTCAAGGGGTGTACAAACTAAGGTCCCTAACTTACATTCATATGTAGACATACTAGGGACAATTTAGACAGGAGCCAATTCACCTACCAGCATGTCTTTGGAGTGTGAGAGGAAACCGGAGTACCCAGAGGAAACCCACGCAACACAGGGAGAATATGCAAACTCCAGGCAGGTGGTGCCATGGTTGGGATTCAAACCTACAACCCTGGTACTGCCAGGCTGAAGTGCTGAGCATTTAGCCACTGTGCTGCCCATATATTACTGTTTATCTGGATGCAGGAAACAAAAGTCTGATGTGTTACTCATAAGACCAGCCATCACAGCACCAACATCCATGACCCCACCTACCACCACTGCCTAATGTGCACGACCCCACCCACATCCACTGAACCAAAACACAAAACTCCCCCTGCTGCTACTGCCCCGATGCACATGACCACTGGCCTCTGTACTGCCACAGATCATAAGCGAAATCTCCTGCACTCAAGACCCAGGCGGGTGGCGAATAGATGGAACCAGACCTGGAAAGATCGACCACCAATGCATGTAGAGTTGTGCAGCTCCAAATAAGGCTGGGGAAGCCCGACCAATACTGCAAATCAAAACAAAAACGAGAAGAGCACCAACCTTGCGCATTACCTCAGTAGCCAAAGTTTATTAAGTATAAAATAATACTCACAAACAGCGAATAAAATCAGGCATGTAAGTCCTCAAAGGGACCTGAAAGATAAAAAAACCAGCGCGGATCCCATCTTGGGGGTAGATACTCAGTACAGCTGACGCATTTCGAAGGGCATCCCGTCTTCATCAGAGCTCTGAAACGCATCAGCTGTACTGAGTATCTACCCCCTTGATGGGATCTGCGCTGGCTCTTTATCTTTCAGGTCCCTTTGAGGACTTACATGGCTTATTTTATTCGCTGTTTGTGAGTATTATTTTATAATTAATAAACTTTGGTTACTGAGGTAATGCGCAAGCTTGGTGCGCTTCTCATTTTTGTTTCGATTCTCTGTACTGCCACCACAACCCCACCCAGTGACCACACACTACAACCATGCATCCCACCTTACCCACCAACACACAAAACCCTGCCTGTTGTCACTGCACTGATGCACACTTGACTCTCCGCCATTGCACCAAAGCACAATTTGGCCACCAGTGCTTCAACTTGGTCTACCCCATTCTCCACCATGCACTTCTGTATTCATCCTGTTCAAAGAACAGGCACATTTTACTAGTATAATATAATTGCTTTCAGGATTTTTCAGTTCTTTGGTGTAAAGTAAGTATTGAAAGATGAAAATGGTGTCAATGATTTTATAATTGCATTTGTCTCTACAGCTTCTTGCATTCCAGTGGGTACCTGTCTGGATGTGCACATCAATAGGAAGAGTTTTTCAGTACTAAGGACAGAAAATCGCTTTATTACTGAACCACGTTGGACTATTTGTTCATTCTGCCAGCACTGATGACTTTAATACTTGAGTTGTGGCTGTTTTGTGTGTATTGTAAATCACAATGATTGTGAATATATTACTACACTGTATATTTGATATTTGTCAGTAGTATTCTGAATGTATTACTTGTTATTTATAGTGTGACAGTGAGAGGATGTGACATAAATATATCTATTACTTTGCTTTAGAATTCCTCCAGGGCACTGCTGTTTAATAGCCACCCCAGAGAGGCCCCAACAGTTGGATGTGTTACTGGAGGGCATCATGTTCTTACTAGGAGGCATCTGTGGTCGGAGGTCACTTTTGCATTATTCCATGCATTAGCTACCTCGAGTGTTTGAGTTGTGGTTTATGTCCAGTTCTGATTTATGATGGCCTGGTTTTGGTTGACCACTGGAAATATAACTATTAAGGCATTGCATTTTTTACATCTTAAACATATTATGAGTATTATACAGAATATGTTTAATTGTCCCTGAACTGCTAATGTGCCTTAACATCAGTGTTCCTCACTCCCTCATATGAGAGTGCCCACGCCTAAGGATTGGCTACTATACCTGAACACTGTCACTTAGAAGAGGTCACATGTTCCTCATACCATGGCCTAAAGTGGGTTCTGTCACCATCTGTGATGGAGAGAGGAGCATAGAGGGAGCATTGGCAAGGTGAGTTAAGTGGGTCGGCATGGGGCATCCTTTACAAATATACTGGCACTCTGCCCTGCATGGAAAAAATGACAATGTTTCTAAGTCCTCTAAAAAATAGATACAACTGTGTTTCCCATGATATCTGGATAGTTAGCTGTTAGCATTCAGTTTTCGCTGTAGGTGTGACAAACACACAAAAGAAGACAAAAGGGGGGGATCTAAGTCCAAGCCTGGTATGTTCCTGGTCAATGCATACATATTCAATCACTACAATTTACAAGTAAATATCCATTTTCCCTGGTATCCTCTGCACCACATTTATATCATGGTTATCTGCAAATAATGTGTTACTTACACAGTATGTTGCAGTATGGAAGCACCATTCATGGGCCCAACCAGCCATATACACCAGCCATGGGTGCAGGTCAACTCCGGGGCTCACTCAGTTCCATATCTTTAAGTCATCATTCAACTAAAGCTGTACCCCATGTACACAGAGCTGAGGAACCATTATTCATTTCGCTCTAAAAAAAAAAAAAAAAAAAAGCTTTCCAAGATTCTGCTTTCCTTGAATAATGACATAGAGATCTAACCAGTAGCTGAACCTTTTATTGTTTTATCACTTGCCTGCTGGGCACTTATACCCCCTTCGTGCCCAGGCCAATTTTCAGCTTTCAGTGCTGTTGCATTTTGAATGACAATTGCACAGTCATGCAACACTGCACCCATATGAAATTTTTATAATTTTTTTCACACAAATAGAGCTTTCTTTTGGTGGTGTGTACTTGCTGCTGGGTGTTTTATGTCTTGCGCTATAAACAAAAAAAGCAAAATTTTTGAAAAAAAAGGTTTTCTTTGTTTCTATTATAAAATTTTGCAAACAGGTAATTTTTCTCCTTCACTTATGTGTGTTGATGAGGCTGCACTGATAGGCAACACTGATGAGGTGGCACGGATAGGCAGCACTGATGGGCATGGATGAGCTGGCACTGATGATGCTGCACTGATATGCAACACTGATGGGCACTGCTGGGTGGCACTGATTGCTGGGCACTGACTGGCAGCACTGATGGGTGGTACTGATGGGCGGCACTGATGGGCACTGGTGGGTAGCACTACTAGGCACTGATGGGCACAGGTGGGTGGCCTGATGGGTACAGGTGGGCAGCACTGCTGGGCACAGGTGAGCGGCACTGCTGGACACTGCTCATCAGTGCCCTGATGATCGGTGCCAATCCGTCCTGTGACAATTAATGGTTATCGGCAGTACTTTCCTCACGCTGTTACAGCGTGAGGAAAGTGCAGCCGATAACCGGAAACTGCATTTACCGGTGATCTACTATGTCATTGGACACGGCTGATCATGTGGTAAAAGGCCATAGTGAGTATCCTTTTACCACATCACATGATCAGCTGTGTACATAGGACACAGCGATCACGGAGATCGCCGGGTGCGCACCCCCAGGGGCGCGCGGGGAGGGTGCATTCTTAGAGGATGTCATATGACGCCCTCCCAGAACTGGCCGGCTATGCTGAAGCCATCATTCGGCTATCTGCGGTCGGCAAGTGGTTAAAGCCTATCTGCGTGCAAAAGTTTGCACATGCAGTGGGGCTGTGCCCATGCTGCACAGGTCAACTGCTCCCTTTTGTCAAGTGAGAGGAGAAAGGAGATATACTTACCTAATCCTTGCAGCACAAGACAGGTCTCTGTGGCTCCTTTTTTTCCCCCCTGTAGTTGGCCTTTAAAGCTGTGCATAGACAAAAGATGGTGGCTGGATGTGATGGCATGATCCTGCCACTGAACAACTGCCATTTTAAAGAGGCTGTGCATCAATGTTCATGTCATAACAACATAGCGATTTATACACTGTACCGACAACTCTATGTAATCTATGTCTGTCAGATCATAACAACCAGGAATACTCAACCAATCCCCAATAATATATGGTCATGCCCAGCCATAATGCCTATGTTTGTCACACTGTACTTGTGTTGCCTTTAACAGTAGCTTAGCCATTAATTAGAAATGCATATTTCCTGTTCTGTATTGTTTTTGTGTGAGTAAAGGTATTGGTAATACTGTTTTCCCCTCTTGTGTTCTTGTGCACAGACCAGAGGCAGCACATCATTGATCGGGTTTCCTCTGATACATACACCTGACATCACATGAGCCAGTCCTGAGTCAGAGCAACAGAAGAAGAGGACACTGGCAGTGCAGTGTCACAGAGATTGCAAGTATTTAGATAGGCTGAACAGTATAGTTCTTCCATATCAGAGTCTTGGCCTGTTTAAATAGAAATGAAAAGCAAAATATTTGTGTTTTTTTTATAAGTGATCACTTACCCTCTAATCTCAGCTGCATAAGGACCTTAGAGAGTGGGGGGGAGCAGTAGCGTGCTAATCTTCCCAGTCAATGGCTGTGCGGGGGATGGGAGAGGCATGTCAGCACAAATCTGATCATTGGATTAGCTCCCAGCAGAGCCAGAAAACTGACCACACTTGAGATGGATGTGATTGCATGCCTAGCGTGGTCAGTTTTTAATAGGAAAGCATAGGGACTGGCAGGAACACCAGGGATTTTACACAAAGGAAGCAATACAAAGGGAACAGGATACTTTTTTTCATATAAGTACATGGTACAGCATGCACATATCAGGAAACGGATAGGGGTGTCAGGTGGGGTTGTAGACTGGGCGGGGTCCGGGTGGTATAATTTAATATGAAATGCTGGGTTGACATAGTATTTAAAAAAATAAAGGTCTACTAAAAGTAGACTTTTAAAGTTCAATTCAATGCAGAGTAAACCTAAATGAAAACTTAGTAATAAGGAAATAATGTCAATTGAGTGTATTCATTCAGCGTAGGGCAACACATGGGCTTTTTACTAATGCCCAATTACATTTTCAATCCAAGTGCTACAAATACTTTGAGGATGCAGCAAGTTAGTAACTGCTCAATATCTTGCCTCTAGTTTACTTAACCCCCCCCCAGCCCCAGAGTAAAGTCTTTGCCATGTAATATGCTGCAGAAAAGGACATCTGTGCACTGAGAGAGGGCAGTGCTCTCTTTTTCCTAATGAGTTCATTCAAAATGGGAAGGTGTGAAGTTTGCAGATGGTGGACTGAATGATATTCACACAATAGAAGTTGTTTATTGATAATGAAATCACAAATTACTGGGACAAAATCCTGAAGAACATGTTCAGTTCAGAAATCACCAAAAAGTATGGCTTCCTATATGAAGACATGAGAGTCCCACCACTACAATTTTCAGGCCAAAACATATCACCAAGTCTATTAACATTTTGATGAATAAACTCAGTTGTCATATAGAAAAAAAAACGTCTAGCCGGGAAATTCTTTCACGTTTTTTGGTACAAGAAAAAAAAAAATTATATATGTGTTGCTTTTAGCGACTAAAGCTCATATTTAAAGCTATGTAGCCTCAAGGTTGAAGATTTACATTTTGATTCGAGATTAGGTCTTCCCATTAGGAAGAAATCTTTCACTCAAGGAAGCATTTTTGTCCCTTGGGATCAGGTGAGAACAAGTCAAAATGTGCTTGACAATAATAACAGCATAGAAAAAACAAATATTTTTTTTTACATACAAAACAGAAATTTCTATAGTAACTGTTAAGGAATGGTTTATTTATTTAAAGTACTTATATAGTGCCATCAATTTTATGCAGCGCTTTTGCATATATGTTGTACATTCACATCAGTCCCCTACCCCACAAGGGGTGTACAATCTAAGGTCCCTAACTTACATTCATACATATACTAGGGCTGATTAGACAGGATCCAATTAACATACCAGCATGTCTTTGCAGTGTGGGAGGAAACCGGAGTACCTGGAGTAAACCCACGCAGGCACAAGGATAACATGTAAACTTCAGGCAGGAGGTGCCAAGGTTGGGATTTGAACCAACAACCCTAGTACTGCCAGGTGGAAGTGCTAACCATTTAGCCACTGTGCTACCCTATATTTATGTAGGTTGGGGTGGCACATGTTATTTTTGTTTCAACACATTTTTAAGCATATTAAACAACGCATAGACAACAGACAAGTATCTCATTTAAAGAAGCACTCTGGTCAAAATTTTTAATTTCCATAGCAGTGGGGCTGTGCCCGCACTGCATGGATTAACTGCTCATTTTTTCCTAGGGGATTGCAGAGTGGATATATATTTACCTAATCCACCAAAACTGGTCCCTGTCATTTCTGCATGCCCCCCCCCTTTCCCGCTTGCTTCAGTCTTGTCAATGGACAGTTCCTGATGTCATTACAACCACAGACCGGTT